TATTCGGTGGAGAATGCGTTATCCATCGAATTCGCTGACTAGGACACGAATTGCATGTGCCCAGCTGTCGCATCGTGCCGTTTTCATTGTAGCTGCTCCGCGTTGGAGGAAACCACATAGAGGTCAATATATAACTTGGAACGGAGAAATGCGCAGAGCTATTAGGTAGAGTGGTGCATCTCGTCTTCAAGGTTGGTTTCAAAAGGACTCTGTAACTGGTTGGTTGGAGATTCTGAAAGATATCATAACTAACCAACAGCAGTGGCGTAACTTCTCAAGAGATAAGAATGTTTGGGAAGGCATGTACGCACAGAATTTGGCGAAGAGTGAAGATGTGGTCGATAATACCTCGACCAGGTGTAAAACCAGCCCGATTCTCACGCGTACATTCTTCACGTGCGGCACACAGTCGACAGAGTACGATACCGGCGAGAATTTTGGAGGCAGTGTTGAATAAACTAATTCTGTTCTTTTCACAAGAGAATTTGTCACTTTTTTGTCAATCGGTATGATGACCGGTTCACACCATTTAGTTGAAGCCTGTTCCCTCTACAATATTGCGCCCAGGATTTTCGTCAACTCCAAGACCAACGCTGAGCCTCCATGGTACAACTGTAGGCACAGTTGAACTGTGTTATTTGTGTTGATCGTAGAGGTTAATTGTCATCCCTCTAACTCAAAACCCTATACATTCACACTTACCTTGTATGTATTGTGGGTTTTCCAGCGATCAGTGAGTTAGATGCATAAGCGTCAATGTTTACGATGGTCACAGTCTCTAACCATCCGGTACGCTAATCCCGATGTCCCCACCCAAGAAGCCAAAAGAGACCTATGAGAGCAAAGTCTCCTGGTCAATGTTCTCATTCCTTCATGACAGGCCTTAGTTCTCCCTGTCGCGGGAAACATCGCGCACAGTGGCAACCAATTCGTTGATATGCGTGATACATACCCCAACCAACGTATTCTATGGAGGTTGAGTACTTGCTCTAGTGGGCGAATGCGGTTACCGAATTCTCTACTCCTAACTTTATCAGTGCTTGTCGGGTTTTCGAGCCAGATTTGTGCAATGAGGCGTAGAAACAGGTGTGCGAACGCTACTTTGGTAATGGTCAAGTGCATGTGCTGTATAGCAGAACTGCTGCAACATAAACTCGACCCTTAACATACAATCGGACGTCACTCGGTACCATTCTGACACCGATTTGAACATAACCATCCTTCCCTTGCTCCATTCAAATGGGTAGCCATGAGGCAGTAATCGAAACCACCACACGAAAGTGTGTGGCTGATGATTGTATTAACTGGACTGAACTAGTCCCCATCAACACCAAACTTGCTAGCTCCTGGTTCAAACGGAAAACTAAATAAGACCTCTGAATCCTGGTGTAACAGGAAAAATACTGCTAGCTAACGATGAAGTCAGACGACGGGTGCTAGGATCAGATAGTCTTTCTTTGAGCAGAATTTCGCAGCATCGTCTTCAGTGGATAGGGCACGTCTCACGAATGCCTGAGCAACATCTGCCACACTGTGCACTAGTCGCAGACATCGGTCCAGGCTGGAAGAAACAGCGAGGTGGACAGATTATGACGTGGCGATGAGGGTTAAAGAGATCGTGCGCGGATCTGGCTTCCGTCGGGGTTTTCCCGCTTCCTGGTTGGGGCCCCAAAGATTCAGATTATCTTTGGCTGGAGACACTGCGGGATGTGGCATCAAGCCGAAGTCAGTGGCGTGAATGTATCCACTCCTGTTTACAATCACAAAAGTGAACAAAAAAGCTCAAAACGGCGTGGGATAAGCAAACAAAAAGTTTTTTATTCCCTCAAGTTGACTGTTTTGTTTTCACCGCCTCTGTACCCATATATTTCATCAACCCATGGTTATTTTTGGCGCCGTATCTGTAAAGATTAGTGTTATATATATCACTTCATCTGAAACGAAGACTATTCGGGAAACAAGGTCTGTTTTCGAAATAGTGGCAAATTTATGGTTCATGATTGTTCAGGTCGTGCTGGATCCGGTGCAGCTGGTATTGGTGTACGAATGAATAGATCTAAGAGGATCAGCATAAGTCCGGTAGTTAATGGCTCTAAAGGTTATTCTATGATTATTTGCGCAGGAAGAATTGATAGCTGATCTCATTCGCCCCTGCCGACGACTAGGGTCAGTTGGAACAGATTAAGGAAATTTCCCGTGGCTGCACTATGTTCTGCTTCAACGCATATTGAAGCCACCAAATTTCGCGATCTCTGTGCAGACTTGCGTTGAGTTTGCACTTCGTTGCGAGTCGTGTCTCGTTACATTTGCCACCGACCAAGACCGATCGATGTGCATCAAGAAGGTGCAAAAAACCAAGTGTAAATCCAGGGTATAGCGATGGGATGTCTCAGACTACAATTCGCGAAGCCGCCGGAATGCTGAGAACTCTTGATAGGTGACCAGTGAAATTTGCTATGATCAGGTTAAGATTTTCAGATGGTGCATTTTGGAAGACGGGCAGATGGAATAATTGGGACAACTTATCCCCGTTTGGAACACGCACTAAAGCACACGGATACCTTGATGCAAAAGCAGGATTGGAGTAAGTGTTCCAGTACGATCAGCAATTTTCTTGATAACTTAGCTATTTGTGGCTTACACGTTGTGATTGATCAACGTTCATCAATGATTTGAAGAGAGCAGACGCGACCAGAGCGTACGGGGGAGGAAACACAGCTGACACCCATTCCCGTTTATTGACGGACAAGAATCCGACCACAAAGGACATACCAGTTCCGTCCCGTTCGAAGACAGCCGACCTATTCTCCTGTCCTATTCGCCTTACACAAAAAATGTTGCAGCTTTTGGTAGATTTAGCTCTGATTGTATCTGGATTGCAATTTGTGCGGGCATACACAGTGGAGACGAACAGATTGTGTTTATCGGAACGGTAACTGTAGTTTTACAAATCTCTGAATTCTAGCTGAAATCCTGGATGCCAGTTACAGGGACACCATACACCGACAGCGTGCGATTTAAACACGCATCAGGGTCTGCACGTTAATTTTGGCTAATGCGAAAGGAAATCGAGGTTGAAGAGAATTAGCCGCCAAAGGTCAACTCAATGGGGCTTGAATACCAGATGGAAGAAGCCAGCCGAATTAGGATTTGAGTCAGAGACTAGTACAGATGACTAAAGCCCAGATATGAGAAATGTAGGAAAGAGGATAGTGGGTCTACAAAAGGTGGTGTATGGAAAAACGTAGCTTTAGTTGTCAAATGTATGCACTGAAGAGAAGATTCCGCTAAGGTTAGACACATCACGTTTACTATTAATGGGTTTCATGGTTTCGTAGCCGTGCATGCAATGAAAAAGTGACTTCGTGATTGTACAAACGCACTAATGATAACATCTGAAAACACTTAGTAGAAAGTCTCAAAAAAGCGGTATGCCAGATCACACCAACGAAAGACAATCTCCACTCCATAAGTGATTTCGACTGACATTACCATCACCTGCAATTGAGATTCATAATCAAGATCAGAGAAAATCAAGTATTAACGAGTGACGGAGACGAGTATGTGGAGTGTTTTCGTTAATAACCTCAAGCCCATTAGATCCGTAAGCAATGAGTTCTAACAACACCTGATTCATAGAGAAAAACGCCGCTCAGTAGTTTACAAACAGTCAGTAATTCAGTTAGGTAGTAATCCATGACAATTTTACTCTGACTGCGGTAACACTCACCAGGACACCACTGACACTGCCTTCAATAATCAAGTCTTTCCTTTGTTCTGCTATAAAAGTGAACAGTCAAAAGACAATAACCACAACCATCGCACGAAAGTGCAAGATTAGTGGTTATGTAAGCTGAACTGAACAACCAATCGCGACCGAAATTAATTCTGGATACGTGGCGCTTACATACGCTAGCGTAAAAAGTCGGAAGGAATTTATTGGGGTTCCGGAAATACACTTGAACAAAATTGGTTTTTAATTTTCACCTTAAAATGAGAAACACCGTGGCTTTCGAAATAGAGAACCATTGTACTACTTATATGAGCAATTTGATGAAAAAGTTTACTGTTCAGAAATGTTGATGCTAATGTCCGATGGTGCCCGTGTTTGTTGTAAGCAAAAAACTTTGAGGAATCCGTTGCAACGTAGTGGCAATCATGTTGTGAAAAGAACACCTTATTTGTCTTGAACAATTCCAAAATGAATGCTACTCGTCCGAATTCAAGATATACGAAAACCGCTCTTATTTATCAATAATACTGCTGTGCACCTTTGACACAAGATTTATTGAAATACAAACACCGCAATGGTTCGGCATTTCGAGTAGTTGGTTATTTAATTATTACCATTTATATTGACGAGGATTTCGGAATCGAGGAATGACCATCGAAAGTGGCCGAGAAGTAAATTGTTCGATCTAGAACGCTGAACCCCAACGGTGCGCCCTACTAGCTTAACGATACTGAGTCATCTTGACGGTAGGCGGTGCATGTCGCCCGGCTCAACACTGCATGACTCCTAGCACAGTACTCCATTAACCATGTAACAGCTTAATTTTCTTCAGCAGGTACCATTTTCCAGACTGCGAATTTAATCAATTTTGTTCAAAAACACTGTTGGCAAACGAACTACTAGCTAGAGGGCAAACGCCACTTTTGAACTCGTGGCAAAGGTCGACATTTCAATCGCAAGTTTTAATGTGAAACTGTAAAATTCAGAAACTGGTAAACCCAGGTAATCTTGTTTGTGCAGGTTACGTGTTTAGTGATGTTTTTATGATATAGAAGTTAAGTTAGTAGGATACACAAATCTTCGAACTTCTTGGACGTACCTTATTTTTATCTTGCAACTGTTTTAGTTGTTTATTGTGTTGTGTCCGCAATCGTTTAAGCTCACTCATTTGGTCCCGCCACAATGCAGAGGCACGACCACCACTAGGATGAGCGAAGCCTAGGGCAGCCGCGGCCATTGCGCCGACCGAAATATTTCCTGAACGTCCAGAATGCATCCCGCCACCACGCATCATTTGGCTAGTCTTCAGTGTAGCAAAGTGACCCGCGGCCGGGGGCGGTCCCAGATCGTCTGGACCGAGACCCAAACTAATAGCCGCACGCCGAGAAGCCTCCAGAATGGCTGTGGCTTCGTTTGGGCTATGTGAACCAACTGCGTCGCCCGAAGCCTTGGTGGGAGTGATAGCTGGTCCCGTCGAATCCACTGGATTAATCGGCAGGTGCAGAGACAAGCAAACACATTCGTATGCAAACAAACATAAACAAGAACACATACAAGGCAGGGGGAGGGACGGATGATATAGGGCAAATGAGCGAACCCATGCGCAAAAGACATGGGACATAAGCAGAAAAACGAACGAATTATGTTCCTTGTCTCGTACATCGAAAGAATGAATAAACGATTTGTGACGCACATGAAAGTGAATTAACTGCATCAGCGATCGGCAATTACATTGTTGTAATTCACAACGGATGAGAAAACCCCATCAAGTAGCGAAACGGTATCGGTATAACAAGAGCAGTTTTGAGAAGCTATTTTAGTCTACCTTGCATACAGGTAAAATCTTTTGACTAGCTGGATTATTTCAAACTTAAGACAAAACACGTTACATTAGATGTGACTGGGGAGAGGGGTTTCATCTCTAAAGCAACGTTAGAGAAGGCGAATGGCTATGGTTAACGAGTGTATATATAAACAAAATGGTCTGATTCAGCAATACCACTTTCACGTCAGAAAAAATCCTTTCCTGATTAGGAAAGTGAGGTTAGATGTTGGTACATTTGGAGGAATGTCAAAGGGATCAACTATGGTTGATAAGTGACGGGTACACGGTTCGCACAAAAACAATGTATTTTTTTCAAGAAACGATTGTCGATAAACGATAGTTTAGATCAATGGTACGTTAGCAACGAAAACGGTACAATCCATGTATAACATCGTGGCAATTGGAGTCTCCCAGAACAGTATATAGTAGCTGAGTCAACATTCACATATACATAGGATGAACAGGACGGGTTAAGCCAGTTTAAGCAAGCAAGGTCTTCTAATTTGCAGCCACCCTATCAACCTACCACGAGGCGGCCGATCGTCGATCGCAAAGGAATGATATACATGGGACTCGTTCCCATTTGAGTGGGACGGGACGGGATCAATGTTGGCATACAAATGATTCTCAGTGACCGGGAAGTAAGCTGTTTGAGGATGCTGTATGGCGTTTTGTAGTTCTGTGCCGTTTCGTTCTGCGTCAGTAGTGCTGAATCGATGATGCCGGATTGGTCTTACCGGCATAGGGGAGATTTGAGATCCATTGAACTCGTATGAACCACTACGTCCACTGTCCGCATCAAGCAGGCGAATCTAAAAGGCATATATAAGAGCGGAGAAATTAGCATTTCTCGCAATAGGTTGGTAAAAAAAAATGAGGCAAAACTTTGAAAGAAGTCATAATCGTGAGAAAATTAGTGTCAGTTTACGCTAAATGCACACAGATCAACAATTACCACAGGTAAACAGCACGCTTCGATTATTGTAAAGAGAACAAACACGACCGTTCATGCCTTCAAAGTATCAGGTTTCAGAGCGCTCTTCCGTTCGTATGTCTTTACAGGTGAAGCAAAGAATTTATAGAAGCCAGAAACCATGGAAATTAAGAATTAGCAAAAATGGACAAATCATGGATGAACGTGAGATCCGGAAAACACGTGAACGAGATCATCAGTGTTAGTTTTCACAAAAGATAAGCTTGTATAAAGAATGTGACAGGATCGCACAGTTCCTTACATCCCATTAGAGTTCTCATTGAAATATAGTATCACTAACTCGGGCTAGTATCTCACTGACAAACACTGTATAGTGTTGCTGTTCATTCCAGGACACAGCACTGGTCATATTAAGAAGCCGCAAGTTGGAACTTTAGCCATGTTGTCGTTTAGACCAGGCTTTGGTGCACAAACACACCCACATAGAATTTATCTTTGTTCCGTATATGCACGGACTCTAGTATAAACGGAGAAGAGGAATATTGAAGAGCTTTTTTATTGTCCGGAATCATTGGTTACCTTGCAGTAACCCAGTTACTGCATTGAGAATGTCACCTCGATTGGTGATGAAACGTTCGCAATACAATTGCCAAGCTCGGCGAACAACCGAACACCAAGTTATACTACCCGAGCTACAAAAAGCAACAATGAACACCGTTGTTTACCAAACTGTCGTATATATATATATATATATATATATATATATATATATATATATATATAATCTGATCTATTATCAATCTTTCATGCTTTCAACAAAATGCAGAGTAAATACGACAAATTGCAGTTGAACAGCTAGTAAGCGTGAAAACTGGTGAAATAGCACTGGATGCGTCCCTTGAGTTCAGCTCGAATTAATCATACTGTGGTTGCGCTCAGTGGACGCTNCAGAATAACAATGGAACATCGAATAGTTCAAAGTAAGACTTAACGTGTTTCAACCCAAATAGAATGAACAGAAATTCGACTTCATCAATCATATGTACTCTTAAGAACGATGTCTTTGATAACAAGGACGGGGAATGGACAGTTGAGGCAAATAATATAGACATGATCGTTTTTAGCAACTTCATAATTTTACTACGGTGATCTCACCGAGTGTATGAATGATTATGCAGTTACCAGCACATTTTCACGAGGATAAACAGAATCAAAAGAGCTAAATTTTCCAAGGAGGATAAACCGCTACTGTTGGTTCACCACGTGGGTTAGGAAAGCATTCGGTTAGAAATAGGTGAATGAGGTTACCCTTACCGAATGTCTCTTAAGCTGTGAAATATCACTGATGCAAACACGGGTGATACTTAGTATCAAGATTTGATGATCTTTGTAAGCCTTGTTTTGAATATGGAAATAATCAACGATTTTACGGGGGCAAATTACCAGAAGGATAACTTACTATTTCAAAACAAACTGGATGAAGAGTTTTCGGCTAGAAGCAATACTGTACCACAAAACTTGAATAAATAACCGAAATTTTAGTTGTAATGAAGACTGAGTCACCATCCTTCTGGAGGGATGCAAAAATACTTGGATAGCCCTTTGAAAGATCACGCCCGTCGAATGAGTACCCGCTCAACTTAATAATTGATCATAGTTTGTATTTTGGTGATCCAGACTTCAGTATCATATTACTCATCAGAAATGTAGTTATGGTTTTGTTTAATGCAAGTTACGTTAGGATCGCGTGTCAATATCCGCTGTGGATACTGATGTCACCAATAATTTGGTGTAGAATATTGATAAACCCAGGGTTGCAAAATTTTGAGGTTAAATTCAGTGAAGAGACAAAAAAACATGTGTGAAACATTATTAGCGCACTGGCCAATGGTACAGACGAACACCGATGCTAGAGACAGGATTATTGATAACATACTCACGTAGGATGGGTACGACGGCGGCGGAGCCGGTCTTGAAATAACCATCAACTTCTACGGAAAGCATAGACGAATAAAATTGAATAATTTGTTTGACTAAGTTGAAAGTTTGACTTTATTGACCACATACCAGAAGAAAGACAGCGAAATTGACGGGTGTACACATCGAAAATAAAACCGTCTGTGTACAGAAGTCACAAACATAGGTTCATGCGGGTTTCCAAGCCCATGTTTGTGACTCCTCCATTCAGATTGTGACTAGAAGTTTAAAAAACTATCTACACGAAAGAAACCCCTGTCCATGACAGAATGATGGATGAATCACGCTCGCAATCCCTGATAAATCAGTTACTGCGTGTGCATTTACCGAGATGCTTGATGCCTAGGTGGAATAAAGTCAATTTCTTCATTGATTTTATTTTCAAAAAAGCAGTTAATAGAACTTCTCATAATAAGTTCAGATTCACTAGTCAGTGGTGGGTATACAGAAAGCCCCAGACAAATGCAGAGGTTTGGGAAGCTACGTCATTCTTATCTACAATGACATCAGTCCTATGTGCAAACGATGACAGGATTAAAATAACTCTCAAAGTGGTTGATAACTTTATGTGGTTCGCCATCCGTGGTATTATATATATATATATACATATATATATACATATATATATATATATACATATATATATATGATGGTGGTGGTGGTGGCGGTGGTTTAGTTGCTGTCACAGGCGTGCTTTGAACCCTGTTGTCCAAGGTTCAAGCCTCGTCATCGCCACCCAACTTTGGTCGTAGGCACCGTCGCTGTCGTCCGGTTATATGCCATGCCTGACTTAGCGGGCCCTTATGTGGTTCGCCACTCATGGTCTCGAGGATAAGGTTGCCGGTTACCGTCACTGAACAGGTCTTGGTGACTATGGGGTCAGACCCGTCTACCGTTCATCACATACTGGTGTGTAATAAAAATATATACATATATACTTTTGTGAATACAACAGTAAAACATATGGTTACAGGGAATGCACCCTTCGGATTACCGTAGAATCAATGAATGCTGAGTAGTATTGGCAACGCAAAACAAGAGACTTTAGGCGGCGAAAAGCAATAGGCGTAGTGTTCTAGATGACAGTAAGGCTGTCTACTAGTGAACTGAGTTGGCGATAGTACAACTCAAAACTACATCCATGGAGCCACCGACACGGATCACTCACATATTGCCGTTATCTTGTAGTTTCCCATGTTTAACTGTTTCACCCAATTTTCACTATGTTCTGTATCTTAATCCACCTATCCCCTTTCATTGTCATTGTTGTTGCGTTGGCACCATGCTTGTTTTCAAGCCGGTGGTAAATATAATATATATACATATTGCCGTCTATCTGAGCTTCAGTTGGAACAATAACTAACCAGACACTTTCATGAGGGAATCACCTGTCATACACTCACCACCCACATCCTGATGGAATGCTTTCAAAATCCTCAAGTATAATCAGCAGCGTGCATACACTGACTGTGAAGCCGGATAACAATACTGGCATGTTTCTCACCATAAACGTTCCAGGCGGAATCCACATTATTACTAAATGGTAGAAATTGATTACATCTCACTTAATGTATGGAAAATTAAGGTTTTTGCATATCCAAACAAAAAACTTTAACTGGATTAACTTCGAGAAAATAAGAGAAGTATCTAACCAATTAAAATATCTTATATGAAGGGACGAGTTTACGATTTGATCAGTGGTGGTAAATCAAGAGAGACTAAAACGACTAGACGATCTCACCGGTTGATTATCATTCAGAGGGGGTTTTGTGTTGATTAGCACAGAACGTTGACCAGATTGGCCCAATAAACTATCCGACAGATCACTACCCACACTTTCAACACTATTTGAGCAGCTGTCGCCCTGTAACAGAAAAAAAAAACAGAACATATGAAGCTGGTTGTAGCATGAGCAACTGAGGAAGCAGATGTTGGAAAAGCGCGCACCGAAAGTAAACGAGTTATACGGAGCAAGCAGTAATAGGATTACCAATGGTGAGATATTGAAAAATAGTGGCAAATCAAAGTTATGGGTGAAAGACTGTTACTTTCAAGAAGAGAACTAATCTCGTCTTGCCTCATCCCAAAATGCAGCATATAGTAGACAAAGATTCGACAATACTGGAAAGGTAAATTGGTCACTATCTATCAAAATTCATACATACTGGCAATTAACTTGACCGTCCGAACCAAGTGTCCCGAAAATGACATTTGAAACTCAATCAACAAGCTTTTTTCGCATATATTGGACAAGATGAAGAGAAGAGACAGCGAACAATCGCACAAATGATGCATCACCATGTTTATTCTTCGCGAATTAAAGCTTGGGGATTCATCAACTACCTGTTCTTCACATGCAGCTTATAGTCACTAACCCACTAACCATCAGTTGGTTCCTTACGCCTATTTTGCCGCTGCTATTTTTGTTTTCGTTCAATCAAGCTCACCTCCTTGGCCTCCTTGCAGGTTCTCAACACAAGCGGCTAGTCACCCGTTCCAAGTGACTAGCCCCAAATGCCGGATCTCCAACTCTTAATGAACTTTTTCCCTGAGAGCGGTAAAACTGAGGAACATTAATTCTTTCCGTCTTTCCTCCGGATCACATCATCTTTAAACGCAGAATCCACAAGCGGATTATGGCTGGAATATTCCCTTTTTATCGGGGGTCAGTATACAGATTATCAGATTGTGTGCTTTTCGGACGAGATCAAAATGTCCAAACGTCAAAGGTCCAAGTTGCCAAATGCATCTCGGTGTTCAATCAAGTTGGTGACCACTGACATAACCAAGGTTTGGTTTGGAATTAGGATTTTTAGACAGTGCTTCAATGACCTAACCATAGTTTCGGATGTTAGCTTTTCATCTAACTTTGGTGGGAAAACACCTCTGTCATGTGAAGGCAGTGATCCCGGGGACTATTTGAAATAGTTGACCGCATAGAGGCATTCTGAGTGATGCAAGGGAAAGGTGACCGCTAAGAACCCAAGACACCCATACCGCGTCTGAAATCAGACTGTGTACCAGACAAATCATAGTACAATAATCTTTAAAAAAAGAGGTTCCATGATTTGTTTGTGGGCAGAATACTGTCAGGTTGCCCAGGCCAAGGATTTCGGAGTACGCCCGTTTTATTGTTGACTAATAAAAATAAGCATACCGACTCCATTTGCACTGCAAGAAACGCCGCATTACCCAGGATGATAGTCAATGGTGGACTCGTAGTATGCACACAGAAAGATTTCAACTTAAATCTCGATACTGTACTGTCTTCATAAATTTTGTCACACATAACTCACATGAATACGTTTCCCGTAAAATTGTTTCTTTTTTATCTCTAAAATGATGCTGATGACTTCCATGATAATCATGGCTTGACCTGTCTGATGAGCATTATCCTTTGACATGACTTTTGTAAGCATATATGCCTACATTTCAGTCAAAAAATACATATCAACCGTCCCACCACACGATGAAAAGAAACGAAGAATCAAGACAAAATAAAATAAAATATTCATAAACTATAAATTACGCGATGGAAAACATGAACAATACCTATAAGAAACCAACTTACTGTGTAGAAGTCAAGGTCCTCTACAGTTGATCCACTACTTGCATGACTTGTTAGTTCACCCAAGACCCCACGACTCTTCCCAGAGCGACCGTGATTTGGGGCAGCCGAATGAGGCCAACGGCGACCAGTGTCACCCGTTGATGGATTTTCGGAAGTCAGTACTTCGTCTTCAATAGACGTGCGTCGAAGGCCGGTGGAGTTGGAGGTGGACTTTACTGGATCCGAATCTATGGGCTCAAAATCAGGACTGGAAACCTCGATCAGGTCTACTCCACCGACATGATTAACAGGACTCCTACTACCCACGGCTGCAGAGGCACCAGTGCCTGTTGCAGCACTTTTCCCATTTTCATCTTCTTCTACTAAGGCGGTGCTAGATGATCGATTCAGATCACTTTCGTACAAAATTTTCTTCCATTTCTGACTGATCTGATTCTCCTGAGCGGCAACGGCTGCTTTAGTACGTTGAATGAGTTCGGATAATATCGGAACGGACCGCAGAACACTGTTGCAAAAAGGATGTGCCAACGCTTGTTCACAAAATGGGCGATTGTTGACCTGAATCAGTTAAAAATATACGCAGTTTAATAAGACGAAATTGTACACATTCCAGAGAAAATTGACAAAAATCAGTTAGCAGACGTCTTTAGAGTGTTCACATCATTATATATATATATATATAT